TGCCTCCCTCAGCTTCCCTCAGGGAGGGGAACAGCCGCGGGCCCTCTGTGCCAGCGCAGGGATTAGAGAACCTTCCCACTCGGACCGGTCTGAGCCTTGACAGTCACGCTCCCAGCGCCAGGGGCAGTCGCTGCTGGGACAGAAGGCTCTTCACGGGGGCCCCAGGCACAGGACGGGTGTCCCGCTTGTCTCCCCACACACTGCACTCATTATTCCCGGCACAGCTGCACCTAAACATCTCGAGCTGGTGCCTCCGAGGAAAATCCCAGTTAAGCAACCCCTAGGCTTTTATCCCGTCATAGTGCCCCCTCCCACAAGTGTCACTCTCCCTCCTCAGTCCCCTGCCCTAGTATTTCTGTCCATCCCCCTCACTAGCGCCGGGAAAGGCAGCACTGGCCTTAACTGTATCCAAGATCAAATAAAATATATCCAAGTATATGTAGGATCAAATATATATCAAGTATATCAGTATTTCAGGTATATCTAGGGACAAATCCCAGAGACACTGCCATAAATTTCCTAACCAATACAATAAACTGTGCTTAAAGCATGGCACATTTCACTTGTTGCTCTGCCTCCCCGGCAGACAGCACAACACACACAAAGTTAGTTAATATTTAGAATAAACCAAAACCCTTATTTACAACTGATACAACGTTTTATTTCCTTCAGTGATAATTGTTCTGATCTCCAGATTGTCAGAATCTTTTTCATCAGATGTCAAGAACTTGGAGTTGACACCTGATTTGAATGAGCATCACAGAACAACAGTTTGCTCCCCTTTTCCACCTGCTTCTTGGGGAAGAAAAAAAAAAGAAAGAGGTTTTACAAGTTTTATCTCTTTGTTAACTGATAAACTATACCCTTAAGCCAAGACGTTGATTAGGATAAAGCCCTATACAGGTTTTGTCTATCTTGTAAGTTATATCCTGGTTGGATGAATATAGCAAGTTTTATATTAGTCAATTTACAGCTGAGGTGCTCTGGATTTTATGGCACCTGTCTGGGTGCCTCAGATGCCTCAGTTATTTGGTAAGGTTTTTTTTTTTAAGGCTCTATTGTAGAATTCAATGCTCAACAATGTTACATTTGGCAAAAAGACCTGTGATGACTCCTTAGCTCTTCTGGGCCTGGGGAACAATTGGTTGAGGTTCAGGTAAAACTGTTACAAAATAATTCCTTTGGTTGGGTCAGTGCATGTCCAAAATGGCTCAGTTCAGTGGAACTAATGCCAATTACACACAGTGATAGGAGAGCACTGTTAGCTAGTACAGGTAGGGGAACATCACTCATCCTGTATTTCCCCACCTGACTGCTTTAAAGGAATAAATATGTGGACAGTCAGGTTTTTATCACATACCAGAGACTAGAGATGAGTTCAAAGCTTTTTTTAGTATCCCCTGTTTGCGGAATCAATTGTGGCTTTCAGGGCTTCAGCAGTTGCTTGATCAGGTACTTTAGAGAGATTTGAATGACTTGCGACTCCTTGCTTCAGCAGATGCTTCAGCAAATTGTTTTCCTGGTTAACTTCAGTGAGGTTCTTTCCAGCTCTCTGGCAGAATGACTAATGTAGCTACAGATCTTGACTGTTGCTTTAATGTCTTTTCAACATTGCTTTTATCCAGCAGTAGATCAGGGAAGAGAAAGTCTAAGCAACATGGAAAGCATGTTACAAACCCAGAGAGACTCTCTGGCTTCTGAAGCTGTTGCTTGGTGTTAAAAAGACTTAAATGCCATAGTAATGCATAAGGTCTCACCACAGTGATTGTGAAGTATTTGGAGTTCATTTAGACAGACACACATATAGTCCTGTTAACTATCCATCTCAAATTACTACATGAAACTACTCTTAAGAACTTCAGGGGAACTATTTAAACTATTCAAGTATTTGAAGTGACTCTGCCATTGGCTGGGAACCAACCAAATCTTGTAACTGAGAAAGGGCCAGCCCTAACATGGAAGTTAAGTGAGGAAAGTCAAGGGAAATGCTCAGTCACATTGTAGGAATGAACCAGGAGAACTGACTCCTCTAAGATCACTGCAAATGGCCTTGCATTAGCTTTGTATTAAAACATGCACTTCTGTATTCATCGAGAGTATTGCCAGATTTCATCTTTGAGTACTGACTCGCTGTCCAGGGAGATGTTCATTGGCTGCAACATCATCTCCTACTTCCTACTGATCCTTCATAGTGTCTCTGGGACAATAGCAGCCTTTGGAACCCACAGACCTGTGTCAGGATCTACCCTGCTGACAGAGCTGATAGGCTCCATGGTTCATTGCTTATCTCCAGAGACAGAACTGTTTCTTTGTTATTTTCTGTTTGTCTTTCTTCACTGGCTGTAGCTGCATTTGCCTTCTGGTTCTCTTTCTTGCCTCCAAGGAAAGACATCAAACATATTCTCACTGTGTGGTGCAAAATATCCTTGAGAGATTGGCTATTATCAAAATATATTTGATAGGAACTTTGTTCCAATTAATGTGAAATGTTTCAGCTGACACATGACTTGTCATCTTTTACAGGCACTGCTTGTTAATGATCACAAATGAGTGTCCAGACCCATCTGTCTTCCTGCTATGTGTGTGTGCAGGGGGAGGCTGGGCTGGAGCCTGCAGCTGCACACTGAACAGGTAACTGAAGGCAGGGAGAGCTATTGCAGGTGTTTCTGAGCACTTAAAACACCAGTTGAGCTACATGTCATAGAGAAAGAACCCCTAATTAGGAGATACTGTTGGAATTAAGAGAAATGCAAAGGTGAGGTTGAACTGGGACAGCTGATGTTGTTGTCACACCATCCATTTGTTTATAATGTTGAATCTACTGGAAAATGCACAAATTCTACCTGTCCATTTGACTGCATCAGAAGAGGGAGGTTGTAATGAATGAAAGGGGAGACTTTAGACAAGTCCCTGCCTCTGCTCAGCTCTCTGGCACTAGACAGTAGCTTTATTGAGGCAGCCAGCACCCCAAAACCCACTCTCTCTCTCAAGTCCTTAATAATGACCAATCAGGCTTATTACAACATGAATTATTTATTGAACAGACATAAGGAAAACACACTCAAGGCTTTAACAGATTTACTTACAACACAGGATAAACAAAAAAACTACTACTAGATAAAAATACAGTGCACAGTAATAAAGGTATCTATGTTACAGCTAGCAAAGAATTAGTATAGATTAGAGCCAAAGTCACTTACCAACAAATGATGGTGGTGTGCAAAGAGTCTCCTAATTCCTCTGAGTCCCATGCAAATATCTCAATGTGAATGTCACCACATCATGGAGAACTCTCTGCACACTCAGAGAGTCTAGAGGAGATTTCTGGTTTCATGAAAATCATAGTGGTCTTTTATAGCTGTAAAAACTGCTAGTCTGTCAGTCACTTGTTTCTGGCTTATCCTTTCCCACCACTCAAGGAAGGATGTTTATTGCTGGCTGAAGGTGTTTTCAGCTGAGGTAATTCATCCCAAGACAAACCATTCTGGCCTAGCTTAGCCATGGGGGGAGTATCAGGAGGTGAAAGGTCCTGTCAAAGGGATCAAGTATGGTTGTGGTCTGAAGGCTGCAAACTCACCTTGAGTAGCTGAACACCCATTGGAGCCCACAGAGATGGTGCAGGAAAAGGACTTTTAAGAAGAGGTCAGCTATGTTCTATTACAGTATGGCCTTTCCAGTCATTTCATGCAGCCCATAAAGTGTATAATTGAACAAACATATCTGCTGAGGTCTTCAGTCCTATTGTTGAAAAGTTTGGGAATCCCTGCTTTGAAGTCATAACATAGTGAGGTGGAGATTCTAATTTGCAGGAAAATAAAGCCATATTCCTTGATTCAGTTTACAGGCACCTGCTCAGCTCAGCATTTCTTTTGAGGCAGATGAATTCCTGAGCCAAACTTTAGCCACCTCTTCTGAAAATTTTGGCCTGCATTCTCTTTTTCACTTCAGTTTTCCAGATTTAAGAATCTGGACTCTGAAAAGACACAAACTCTTTGTAGGTCATGTGCATCTTGAGTCACATAAAACACCAAAACCTTGTCATAAGGGTAGGCATTGGACAAAGGAAGAAAGTTTTAAAGCCATCAAATGTTATATTTTTAATACTTATTTCAGAACTCAGTTTGAAGTATTTACCTTTGAGAAAGTTTTCTCTCCAATTGTTGGACAAAATGCGGAAATTACAGCTGAAATTCTACTGTATTTATAGGAGGCAATGCATAATATGATCTTTTAGACTTGGAATCTGTTAAATTGATGAACTATGTTAAACAAGTTTTAAATTACTTTTCTCTCCTCTTTCTTCCACGAACACTGTCAGGGAAGGGCTTGGCATTGAAATGGCTGTTATTTAGATGGTGCCCTCAAGCACAGGAAGGTATGTGAGAAGGAAAAGATATGTGACTCTAAAAGAACTTTAGACTGCTTTATAATTTCCTCAGTTTTTCATGTGTGTCCCTGAATACAAAACCCATCCTATCCTCTGAGTATGCTAAATCAATCAAGTGAATGCTAATGTCCTGCTGGCTCCAGCAATTCAGCTGGAATTGAACTATCAGAGACAATGCCTAGAGCTGAGCTGACATCATTGTGAGTGACTCCAATGCAAAAGTACAACAGAAAGAGAATATAAACTAGGC